TTTGATTCCAAAACTTGCACTTTTATGCGAAGATAAGGTAAAAATGACATTCGGAAATGCTTAACAATGAGCGAAACAGTTAAACACAAATAGACGGAAATACTATTAGAATATTATCCAGTGAAAAACTATTTTAATGAACGAAAAAAGTGAATATATTGTTATTCAATATTGGAAAATTTTAGAAATTGTTCAGGAAATACTTTTTCTGATAATGAAAATATAGAAACTATTTCTTGGATATATTTCGAATAAAAATTTGTATTTATTTATAAATATTTCATGCATTCATTAAAGTTTGATTTTCACAATATTCGATGCTTTAATAGAACAAATTACGCAGTGCTTTAGAAATTTTAGAGTCTGACTACAATAATATGCATAGCTATGCTGAAATAACTCATTCTACGGGGTTTTTTTTATTTCTTAAACAAAGTAGCAAACTGGGTCTCAAAACATCAAAATTGATTTTAAAATTCAATGTGTTGAAATTTCTAAACAATGCTTCTTCATTATACATAAATAAAAATTCCAACTCTTTAGTTTTTTTTTTTTCATTTATTACATATATATAATAGTTTTCTTTGTTCTATTCTACGTTGACAGTATCTAATAATTCATCAGTTTCTTGAATGGAGTAGAAAACCAACCTATATATAAGAACAAAAGGAAAAAAAATTCTCTCTCATCTAGAAAATAGATATCTTTAAAAATTCTTATATTATTTGTTTGCTTTCTACCATTTTGATATTTTCTGTCTAGCAATTTTTCTAGCATCTTTAATATAAGTTATTAGTATAAAGAGAGAATTACGTCTGTCTTTCTCTCTTATGCCGAAATATCTTTTTCTACGGAAGTGTATATAATTACACAAAGTCCTTAATTTACGGGAATTTGTCAGTGAGGTGACAGAAAATAATTTGTTTAATTATTAATACAATACAATGCATAGAGCACTTGCCATGAATTATTTTGATTGGTATAAAACTTGAGAATTGTTTTCCTCACTATGCATAGTTCAAAATGTACGATCCTTTACTTATTTTGAAGATAATGTATATACAGCAAAAATGAAAAAACAAATAAGGCACAAACATACCGCAATATATAAAGAGTATACTTTTGAAAAAATAAGTAGAATTCGAATTAGATTTACTGAGTCGGTCAAGAAACACTAATCGTAAATTCTATAGATACATCAATCAGTAAATTAAGAGCTTGATCATACGTAATTACTTGATAACGGTAACGAATCTACGTATACAATGACCTTATTACGGAAGGAATACTCAAATTTTCACCTTGACATCATTGATTTCATAATAGTTTTAATCTGAAAACTCACATTAATGCCTCGAGTTATACAATTGCCAAATGAAAATCACTAAAATTTATTTATTACCTACATAATGGATTCGATTATTTTCATCTTGGCGGTTAATAATGAGATATTTATGACTTACATTTCAACCCAAATATTCCAGTCTCGGTCAGTTTCGATCCGCCAATAGCATATAGATAAAAGAATTTAATTTATTACATAAGGCAATAATTTCTAACAGTTCATTATCTCACAGATATCATCTACTGTTAAGGCTAAATTTTCACAAGATTAACTCATTACATTAATAACTAATTTACAGTTTGTTAATTTTTTAATATGATTTCAGTTTTTCGGTACCCAATATTTCCTTTTCCAGTTCCACAATGAAAGTTTTAAATAACCCGCAATCTTTTGAAAAACTTTTAATGAATTTTATTTATAATGTTAAATTGAATTTAAAAGAACTTTTAATCTGATTTTAAAGAAGAAATCGATCAATAATAATTTTTATATTTAATAATTTATAAAATATTATAAATAATAAAGGGGAAATTAGTGTGTCATTTATTTTAAACTGAAAAATATCTCAGAATTTTTACTTAAATTAATAGTATCAACCCTTTCAATGAAAATAAGTTCCATACTCGAAACATAATTATAAAAAATCCATTAAACAATTTAGGAAATCTTGACTCTATGCGTTTCAATTGCTATTAGTTTTGGAAAACATACGCATTAATTTTTACGTTAAGAAAAACACCAATAAATATAAATAAATATTAATTAAAAAAAAATTATTTGAAGTTGCCAACACTCTTCGTACAACTTCTTTTCCATTTTCGTGGAAAAAGGAATATAATAAATTGTATCTTCATTAAAAATATCTTACCTTTCGGTAAAATCCAAAACAATTCTTCTTAATCGCCTTCCACTTCAAATTACTGCAAACAAAGCTTTGTAAAAAAAAAAGTTGATTAAAAATTTTCACAATGTTTGTGATGTAATTTTATTTACTACACGCATGCATTGCAAATTATGAAATTTTGTAATTACGTCAAATAATTCAGCAAACTTAGAAATTAATTAAAGGAATGAGGAATTATGTCGAAAACCTAACAAAATACATCAATCATCATGATATGTTTTATATTTGTTCCTCAATTTTTAACGAAGATATGGAAATATTTTATAAGCAAATAGAAATAAATTATCACTTCCTTAGATAGGATAAACCATGAAAGTTTACGGACAATAAGTACATTAAGTTTTAAATCTGATATTCGAGTACTTTATTTTGCGGGTAAATTAAGTAGATAGATGATTTTCAAAATAAAGATTAGATATTTTTTTTAAAAAAAATTTCATTTAAATTAAATAATATGTAAATTTTAAAAGCTCATTTAATTAAAATTACTTAACTTATTTCGAATAAAGTTTTTCTTGTTTGTAAAAATTACATTGCTTATAAAATTTAAATACTTCTTTCAGTGTAAAATAAACTTGAAATTTTAAAATCAAAAATTAAATTGGTAAAACTAGCTTTAAAATAATTACTCTGATTACTAATTACTTCACTGAAAATGAAATAATGGAAGAAACCAGCAACAAAAGCAATAAGCGACGTAGAAATAAAATATATATATATTAAAAGGAACAAAATTTAATGACGCACTGTTTTTAGAAGAACAGTTATCGAGTTCTTTTCTTTTGAGGAAAAGGGTTTCAATTGACTTAAACCAGTTTACTACACAAGTCGTTGAAAACTACCATTCGCGATCTTCTGGTTATTCAGAAAGGTTTCAAAACGTTTCGCAATGTGTTAAAACAAATCTCATGTTCGAATTACGTGCGAGTGTGTGTCGGAATACAACTTTAAAATCTCTCTACAAAATTCAAATTTCTTTAATTCCACTAACTATAATAAGCTTTCAGATAAAAAATGAAACAAATGCTGCACACAAAAATCAGACCTCTTTTACCAAACACACACAAGCAAAAATGTAAACTTTTATTGGTTAAAATGTCTAACAAATATGATTTTAAACGAAAAACATGTTCGCCAGGTAGAAAAACGATGATACATTCTATTATAATACGCAACTTGGATCTATTCCAAAAGGCTTTAAAACTTTGAGTTTCTTCTTTTAAATTTAAATATAGCTAATATTTTTAAATCCCACTTCTAATAAAAAGAATACTCAGGATTTTATTTTATACCAGGTGTTTGTCTATAATTATAATTATTTTATTGACAGTAAATAAAAAACGAAACAGTCATTCTAAATTTTTAAATATCAAAGACTATACTTTTACATTCGTTAAGCAATTCACTTAATAAAATAAAGCTTTATTCTTAAGTTTAAAATATGTCATCATATCTTGATTTTACATGCAATATGAAATCGTAGAGTTAAACTCTTCAAGACAATGGATTGACGTCATGTTTAATAATAAATGCTATTAGCTATTTTTGGCTACGTAACGTAAAACTAATCTTGTTATAAAATAACACTGAATATACTTATAGTACACATATAGGTTTTTAAAAATACATGATTTTTTTGACATGCGTATGATCAAACATTTAATTATCTTATCATTACAAATTTCATCCCTTAAAACTCTGTATTCTCAATGAAGTGTCAAAAATTCAGACTTATTTAACTGCGCATTTTGGAAGAACAATGTTATTTATTTAAACTAAAATGATAACATTACTTTTAAGTTTCATGTGGCGCAACAAACCGTAGTACGCTAAACTCATTGACAGAATCCAACAAATTCTTTAGTTCATTTGATGAACGTTAATTTTCAATAAACGAAGGTTAATTTTCTTACTAATTAATGTAATTTAAAAATCACGTTAACAAGTAAAGCTTATTATATAAGATTACAAAAATCTTTTTTTTTCTATGGAAAAGGGGGAGGGGGTTAACTTAGTCATGAAGTATGATCAAATGTGTCTATAAATAATGTTAGCCAGTTTAAAACCCATAGCGATCTTAAACTTTCAATAAATTTCCTTTACTAATTCACATCTTTATAAACTAATGTTATGCTGTAATTTATTATTACTGTCTTTTATTTATATTTTTTGTTCTTGTTTTCCGAAAAAAAGTATTTATTGAATTAACGTTATTAGCGATGGATCTCGTTATTTTTAGCCGCAATAATAAAAAAAAAGACACAAGAACGTCTTTCGAATAAATACTTCTTTACCCGTGAACTCTCGGACCTCGCTCATGTCATGAGTTCAAGCCAAGTACCGCTGAAGACCTGCAGTGTAGAGGGAGCCGATGCATGTTAAATATGCCGTGGCTCAAATGTCCTACCATTGGTGTGGTGTGGAAGTTAGGAGAGGGAGGTATTAGCTTAGGTGTCATCCTCGTCACTTGACCGAAGTTCAAAATTACGAGGTCCGTCAACAATATCCCTCGTATAGCTTTATATAGTGCGACGTAAATATAACTCTAACTTCGCTATATTGTTTTCCATATTTTTGAAGTTATACTTCTTTTGAGGCGTTAGAGAAATAGGATGAGAGTAAATTTTTACAATGCGCGCGCACCCCGTCACGGATGCGAAAGTCCTTTGTCTAGAATTATACAGAACGGGACACAAATCATTCCCGCCTTCGAAATTCTCAGAAAAATATTTCTCTTCACTTCCCTGAAGAAGGGGACACCCGGGCTTGAACCGGAGACCTCTCGATCTACAGCCGAATGCTCTACCATTGAGCTATATACCCGCGTCAGCGAACCTTTGCTTTGTGTTCCGTAGGAACGTATACGAAAATGCTTTGTCTAGAAATATACAGAACGGGACAGATCATTGCCGCCTACGACATTCTCAAAAAAATTATTTCTCTTCACTTCCCTGAAAATGGGGGCACCCGGGTTTGAACCGGGGACCTCTCGATCTGCAGTCGAATGATCTACCACTGAGTTATCCCTTCGCGTCAGCGAACCTTTGCTTTGCGTTCCGTAGGAACGGATACGAAAATGCTTTGTCTAGAAATATGTAGAACGGGACAGATCGTTCCCTCTTTCAACCCCCTCCCCATATTATTGGTCCTATTGTCCCTGTGCGGGGGTGTTTAAATTTATTTAAATCGTGATTATCTCAGGTTTGGCTGGTCCGATTGACTGAAAATTAGTATCGTTCAACTCTGCTCGAGACCGCCTTTCGTCCTCGGCCCAGCTTGCCCTGCTAAAGATTTTTCGAAAGATTTTAATCTTGTTACGCCAAAGAAGTATAACTTCTTACGTGCGTACATAAGAACACACACACACTTTTTTTTGTAGTTGTCGTATTTATAAGTACGTAGAAGACCGTCTCCCAACCGGTGTTGTAGTTAGCGATGCTGACTGCAGTACCGTAAGGACTGGGTTCGAATCCCGGAGAAGACATGGATGTTTGCAAATGTATAGTGCCTTTGCGGCATGGGGGTACTCTAAATAGCCGTCGAGCCGCAAATCTTCTCGTGTGGTTGGTGAAAGGGTAAGAGAGGTGGGAGGCCCCTGACCACCCCCAGGGGTTTCTCCCTCTAAATTGGGGTAGAACCGAGCAAAATCGTACTGTCACCTGCATGGTGCTCAAAGCTAAGGATAACGACAAGCGTACAAATTCTAGCCCTCAGCCGCGATGAATTTCATTAGCCTCGATCTGACTTCGTCAGGCAGGTGGCATTAGTCACAACACAACAGACTCCATTATTCCAAATGAAGTATTTTTGTAGAACATGCTTTCAATTCACTTACCTGTGTGGTATGAATCCTCCATATCCACTACCAATCTATCATTGCATAACAAAAGAATATTAAAATTACCATTTATTATTTCTAGATTATCTCATGTAGGTAAATTGTATCTTTATATAGAAGGAATTAACAAACAAGCTGAATACGTTTCCTACCATTTATACGAGTAAAAAGAAGCCGCATCTGAATTAGTTACATTTCATTTATCACAGACATATTTCATGCATTACTTTACTCTTCAGTTAGTAATGAAAAATCGAGTTCACTTCAAAAATTTATTTCCTAGCACTCTGTGCGTATAATTATTCAATTGCACGGATGCTACAATCAACTTTCATCACTTGTAGTTTCAAAGAGAAAGACTTTTAAAAAGATTCCTACATAACAGGCGTTTATAAAATTTACTTTAAAATAAATATATTTTACGTCTATTTAAAATTACTTCAGTTCGGAGAGCATCCTTACTTACCGTTTTAATTTTCTACATTCGTCCTTTCTTTCATTCAACATAATATTTCCCGCGAAGATTAGATTGCAATAAAAAGTTTAACTTGGTACAAAATAACAACTCATTCTTTCTAAAAACAAAATCCTGAAACCCAGAAAATGTACTCGAAAACTACAGAAATAAAATGCAAAGTCAGTGGGAAACAGTGTTGAATTCATGCTAAATGTATTAAATATGAGTTTCTCAAACTGTGATGTGGCCAATGTTGCTGAGTGGTCATACTCAAGTGGTCATCGCAAAATCGTAGCTTGCTTTTTCGAACCGTTTATTCCAAACCTGGTGCAACTAAAGACTCGCCGTGTAGAGAAAGTGATGCACGTTAAATCTGTCAAGGCTCAAAGGCCTCACGTTGGTGTGGTGTGGAAGTTTGGAGAGTAGGATACCACCTCAAATGTCGTACAAACAGTACAAAATTATGAAATTCGTTAACATTACTCCTAGTGTAGCTTCAAAATGTGATAGTAATGAACGGCCATCACTTAAATTATGGTATACACATTCCACAGTTGAAATCCCGAGGTACCCTAGTGATCTTTTCCTTTTCCCAAGGGGTTTACTATCTTTGGTAAACACGGGTGTCACGACCCCGGGGGATACCCCAGTGATCTTTCTCTATTTTCGACCCTCCATCTTGTCATCCAATTTCTTCTTTTCCCGTCCAGACCACAGACCTATGAATGTTTCGCGCAGTATAACCAAAACTGGCTCTTGCGCCATAAAACACCAAACTCAACTCAACTCCACAGTTGAAATGAAGAATGCTATATAAACAATTCTTTAATTGCAACCCTGTGAATTATTCTTCCACTTATAAACAAGGAGTCTAAACACATTCACATGATAATGTTGCCATATTTATTTAAATATTAATTTTGAAGTATAGTTAGGGATATATAATAAATAGCTTAAATATACTAAATATAGAGATAACTATATTTAAAGATATATTTTCTCTCTTACTCATACATAAGATCACTTTACAATTATATATTTCAAAATAATGATGTCATTAACCATGTAACTACAGGTTAGAGAAATTATACTGTAAATTATACTTAGACATAAAAACAATTAGAAATTATATTTGAGACCTAATTATTGCATTGAATAATTGTACTAAATTAACTATCGTGTTTCATCTCTAGTTCCTTTTCATTTATATAACATTATTCCTAATTATTTTGTCTGTCTCGACGTTAAGACTAAAAAATTCTTCCTAACTAGACCTAAATGAATTTTCTCCTTGATTATAATAGAGTGCTTGCTTATATACATTTCTTTTTACCTTCCATTACTTTTTCTTCTATAAAATTTCTTTTGCTTCATTTTTATTTAAAATATTTAGAGATCCTCAAACCTGTTTTAAAATAACTTTTTCATGCAGTTACCCTACTAATAAGGAGAAATTACGAATGAGTGTACAAAATTTTTAATTGTTTTTTCCTATGTTCATTTTCACAGATATTTTACTGTATACGAAATAATTCTGTCTTCCTACTCAACAACATTATTCAAGATCGATTAAAATATTTATTTTTCCCATCGATGCCATTTTACTCAAGCTCAAATAGAAACTTGTAGCCCAATATTATAGCTCATGAAATTTAATAAACACAACAGATATATATATATAAACATGTTCCATTTTAACCAAACTTAACCAGACATGGAGAACTTTAAATGTAGATTCAGTTTATTATAAAGTTATCTACAAAACGATTTTTTTTCATTCTTTGTTGGACAATGAAACAATAATACACACTAGATCAAAGAAATTCTTAAATTAAATTTTTTTTGGAGATTTAATAGTAAATTTGAGAGTGAATGAGAGTGTGTATTAACAATGCACTAGAAAGCATCACGAGAGCTATTGGCGACGGACCACAGTCGAGTGATGAGAACGACACCTGAGTTGGCACAGCCCTCTCCAAACTACCACACTTACCTCGGTAGACTTTAAACAACAACAGATTTAACGTGCTTCAGTCCCTCTACACAGAAAGTCTTCAGTGGCACTAGGGCTCGAACTCATGAAACGCCAGCCTCGAGCTCTTGATCAAAATCACTAGACTGTCACGGCAACTTTTAACGGTAAACTTACCATAACTAATAAAATAACAAGATATTATAACTGATAAGAAAATATACACATTTCATAACATTTGTAACTTCAAGCACAGTTTGTAACCAAAAATTCAAGCATCTTTATTTATAATTTTAAGTTGAAAACTTTTCTTCGAGTCTGTTTCTATTTTTTAAAGTTTCTTTTGGGGCAAAATGATCTTTTTTTTTTTAAAGTTTTTGTATTAAACATTTCACAGACTATAGATTTCTTCCACACGCAAATTTACGGTAGCCACAGCTAGTAAACCTGGTTATTTTGATGACGAATTTGATCAACTGAGTTGACACCACGCTCTAGAAAACCACTTCACACTAATGTGAAAAATTTGTGTACGAACAGATTGAATGAGCATCGGTATTAAAAGAAGGCTCTCTAGTTCAGTTCAGGTTTTGTGGGATACAGAGCAGCAAAGGCTATTATCCCCTGAAAAAGCTCTCTAGTATCTTTTGTTTTTTCTCACTGATTTTTTTCAAACTGCAGTCTCCTTGTGATTACGGTTACAAGTTTCATCACAAGCAGAAGCTGAATGGTTATATTAAAAGAGCCTTCTTCATGAATAACACGAACTACTTAGCAATAATTAGAAATAAATCTCAAAATCAACAAATTAGTATGATGTCAATTACAGTGGTCAAGAATGAATTTCTAGTTCTCATGTAGTTCTAGAACAATCGTGAATTCAAACTTGACCGCGCGCGGCGCGTGCGTTCATTTGATAGGATATGATGAAAATATGAATACGTTTATTTTAAAACGTTTAGTGTTAATGTTTTTATGTTCGTATTTCCAAGTATAATTTTACTGCTACGTCGCAGCCTGAAGCAACACGAGGGTATTGGTGACGGACCTCATAATTTTGAGCCACGGTCAAGTGACGGGTACGACAACTGAGATGTCACGCCACTCTCCAGACTTCCACAACACGCGAACGTGAGGCCTTTGAACCTTGGCAGATTTAACGTATATCACTCTCTCTACACAGGTCTTCAATGAATGAGTGAGTGAGTGAATATTTACGTCGCACTGTTCAGCTACACGAGGGCTTTTGGCGATGGACCACGTAATTTTGAACCATGGTCAAGTGAAGTGGACGACACCTGAGCTGGCACCCCCTCTCCTAACTACCACACCACACCAACGGAAGGACGTTTGATCTCTCGACAGATTTAACGTGCATCGCTCCCATACACGGCGGGTCTTTAGTGGTACTGGGCTCAAACTCGCGTGATAAGGCCAGCCACGATACCTTGACCACTTGCCTACCGCGGCCACTCAATCAATGATTGAGTGAATATTTATGTCGTACTGTTCAGCTACATGAAGGCGTTCGATGACGTAGTTCGTAATTTTGAAAC